TTAATACACCCTAAGTGACCCAATGTGTATAAGTTCTTATTCAAGAATTATGGGTAGTGTCGAAGCTACTTACATATAAATTAAAGTCTCTCTGCCCATTTACAGCACCAAACTTACGCCATACATTCATTATTCATGCGTAACTGTATGGTTAATTATGAATATGAGCACATAACTTGATAAAACAATTGTCACCCTCTATTTTAATCTTGTTCTTCCCCAATTACTCATGCAATCATCCAGTCATTTATTCATTTGTTCGCTAACTCACGTATTCAAACAGTCCTCCGCCTCTAACTCCGTGTATATGCTTCGTTGGTTCTGCCGAAGGCCTCAACTCTGCATTTAAGCCCACACCGCACAGGAAGACCGCCCACCAGGCTACAAAACCGTCAGGGCTCAATCATAATGGGCAATTCGAGGCACGATTTGGACATCTTCAGTGACTACAGCTGCACCAGAAGCGTTGATTGGTGCCGCTGGCCCGTTTGTCAGCGCTACTTTCAACTGGCTGAATTGTGCACTCAGGCCAACCAAAGTCGTCTGGACAACTGTCTCAAGCCGGACTCGGGGTCAGCCCAATCAGTCGACTCGTCCGACAGCCTTGAGACTCGAATGCAGCAGCTGCGCTGTCCACATGGCGAATACGGCTGTCATAAGGCGCATGCAGGACCGGAATTCACGGAGGTCATCTTCCTGCCAGACTGGCTGGTGCGAGTCTGCTACGACTCGCTGGGCGTGGCTGGGGTAAGTTGACGCCGGGTACGAGCTGAGAAGAGTAGAAGAGCTATCGGCATACATGGTTGAGTATGCGGTTGCATCATAGCCCTGGGGATAAACAAATAAGGGGATTTGCCTGTTTGCCAGGATGCTCTGGCAACAGGCAAGCCCTGGGCCAAGTGAACGGTTAGCAAGAAGCTTCAGATGCTTTATTCTATTGGGTCTAAGAGATAAGAGTTTTTCTACAAACTCCAAAAGTATGACAACAGCATGTTAGCCTCTCATTGTCATCTGATTCCAACACTTGCAAAATTCACGACATTTTAGGTGGAAAGTGTTGACACAAAAAATGTCCGAAACCGAATTAAACCAAAGGAGTTGGAGGGCCAAAAAAGCCA